TAACCCTTCATAATACATAATACCACAATATATAACACCGCACTGAGTCAAAAGCAAATAAACTAATCACTAAATAAAAATTAAACATTAAATAAACGATAACATATAGTATAAGCAAACACTTACTTTAATACATATACAATATTTAACAATGGCATATATGTGCGTGCATGTAGCGTGCGTGCATGTAGCGTGCGTGCGTGCGGGTTATATATATATATATATATATATATATATATATATATATAAATCTGTGGTATACCAATGTACTATATCATCCACTGAGAGTCCTAGCACTAATATGATATACATTGGGTCCATGAAGAATGATTTTAAGGCAGCATAAGTGTTCTTTCAATAATATAAATAAAAGAAATCAGACTTCCCTATCTAAATATTTTTGGCAACTGAAGTAAACACATAGGACACCTAAAGTAAAATGGAAAATTATAAACAGAGCTAGAACATGTAAAACTTGGGATGACCCATGCCCTTTGTGCCTCCATGAGAAATTGCACATTATTAAGCTTCTAAATAATAATAATCTATTAAACAATAGACATGAGTTAACGGTTTTTTGTCGACATCATCAGATTTATGATTTGAATAATTAGCTAAAAACAAGCATACAATATAATAACTTGATTAATCCATAGCCCAATCATCAGATTCATGGTTTGAATAATTAGCTAAGAACAAGCATACAATATAATAACTTTCATAATCCATAGCCCAAATAAATAGTTTAAATACCCTACAAAAAAGATAACCCTTTATGAAGTCGTCAAAAAACAAACGTTACGGCTGTTTTTTTATATGCACAAATCCATTTCATAAAAAAATAAAAAAAATAAAATAAAAAAATAAATAAATCTTCATAGACACGCATACCAGACTAGGGTTAATACATCTTCCGTTTCAAATTTAGACACCCCCACCTTTCCCTGACTTGACATCTACGAAAGTAACTCTATACTGATACTTATTATTAACACTCAACACATGCCTACCCAATTTTAACAATTCGCCCTAGCTGTTACCATGGGAATTCTGATTTCAATTATTAAAACACGTAAATTTTAGAAATTTGTTATTCCAAAAAAAATTTCGCTTGAAGATGTAACAGAGCTTACTTTAACTCAATTTAATTCAAATAATTATATTGAAGTTTTCGGCTCTTGTTTTGAAACATGAGACCTCTTATGTCGCGAGTTAGAATCATATTTTAAATAAATAATTATATATATATATATATATATATATATATATATATATATATGAAGAAATATAGACTTAAGGTGTGCTATATTTATGGGGTAAAGTGCTCAATATCAGAGATAGAGCGTGTGTAAATATAAAAATGAACATATAAGTCAACACTTAGAGGCGACAGTCTGTTTCATGCTAGACGCAATCGTCAGGCCACATGATGATTGCGTCTAGCATGAAAAAAGAACTATCACTTTCAGTGTTGACTTCTATATTCACTTTTTATATATAAATATATATTAGGTTGTCCCAAAAGTTCGTAAACGCATGATGGTCTTTATTTTGAGGAATAATTTTTGTTGTTTTTGTTATTACTTGGCGAGTAAAATTTCACTTTTTTGCAAGTGTTTACGAACTTTTGGGACAACCTAATATATATATATATATATATATATATATATATATATACTGATACCATCCTCCTCAGGTCTACCCATACGGATTACCTAAATTCGCATAAACTAACTAACTAACTATATATATATATATATATATATATATATATATATATATATATACACAAACAACAAATTCTATTAACCCAACGAACCGTAATTAATACCCTAAAAATAGAAAAAATAATTTCACCATTTAAGCAATGGTTTATTACTAACAAAGCACAGACCTAAGTGTACAAGTACCTGTGTACGTACATTTATACGTATACTAGCCGAATTACCCGCGCCTAGCTGCGTGTAGCACCTTTTTTTTTTTTTAAGAAAATGATTGATTTTAAATCTTTGTTATAATTTGTGGATAAAAATGAAGTTTATACTCAATGATCTTTCCGATGTGACCTCCATCTTCTACCTTTCTCCTTCTATATTTTGGATAGGAGTCATTCCCTTGTTGAAATTTAAGATAATTTAAATGAAAGGCAAAATTAGGGGCGGCAAAAACAGCTTAATCTGACCCCTAAGATATGTATTTGAGGCAATACTTGATTGAATGAATTGATGAGATTTCAACATTGATATGACAAATATATATTGTAAGGTACTACCCATTGATTGGTATCTATAAAAAAGAATATCCGCTCGGCCCGGTGGCTAGGATCAAAGTGTAGTATCTGCGCTTTGTGAGCTGCCGGGTCGGGTGTCTGTCGAACTCTCTGCTTGCAGAGAGGAACCCGGACGAAGCTCCGCCGAAGGGTAGGGTTTCGTTGGGGGAGGTTGACGGAACTGGCCCGCCTCGGCGGCTTTGGATGGTTATTTATTTTTTTGTCTGGGCCTACAGGCTCAGAGATATCCACATTAAAAAGGCATTGTGCCACATTCGATCCCCGTGGGTGGATTGATAAATACCAACTACCCATTGATTGGTGATTTCTTGCTAGACTTGACGTCAATATAACCTCATTTTTTTTCTTGCCGATGTGACCTCCATCTTCTGGTTTTCTCCTTCTATATTTTTGATAGGAATCATTCCCTTGTTGAAATTTAAATCAAAGGGAAAAATTTCAGTGGAGGTTTGTGCCCCCCTCTAGGGATCCCCTTTGATCAAAATCAAATATACTTATCCAAGTACCTTGGGTAACGTAGTTTCAGAATATTTCCGACATCACGGCGACGATCCCCCCCCCACTTCCATCATAACACCAATACACGCAATCTACATACATAAAAAATTTTAGAATTTAATCAGTTTTTCTGACGATCGCAAAAGCGTGAAACCCAGGGACACAAACTCACATCAATCCAACCAAATATGTTAGCTCTATCTCTGATATTGAGCACTTTCTAAGAAGTACCGCGCATATAATATATAAATAATAATAATAATAATAATAATATATATACATATATATATATATATATTTATGTTTATATTTATATATACACACTTTTTACATATATATATATATATGTGTGTGTGTGTATGTGTGTGTGTGTGTGTGTGTGTGATTTATTCAAAAATTATAACATAAATATGTTGTAAAATCACTACAAAAATAGCCATTTTGTTTCAACACTTCTGCCATCTTATCAAGTGATGGTATTATATATATATATATATATATATATATATGTTTTAAGACATTTTTTTTATGTTTATACACTCTTTTTTATAGATACAAATATTTAAGTAAATGCTCTGTTTTATAATAAACACTATTAACAACATTTACCGGCCTTAATGTCCGAGAGATTTTCATAGAAAATATTCGTCATTCGACAGGAATCGAACCTGTATCCTATACGAAACCGTCATTATAGCCTGACGTGCCTTACCTGATTGGGCCACAGAGGATCGTTCAGTTAACAAGATCGTAGTTTAAAAGCAGTAATATCGACCAGGTAATAATATTTATGAACTTTTCAATACGGGTGTTTTCGAAAATTACAGCTTTCATCGGAGCAACCCTATATTATTCTATAGTGATTTAGCGTTTAAAATTATTATAATACTTTAATATTGGGGTATAAATGCATAAACTCTGTGTGGGTAAGGAAATAACGTAAAATAAAAGAAAAGAAATAAAATAAAAATCCGTTAAATTTAAATATCTAGCAAGCGGGGGTGGGCAATTTTACGTATATATAGGGAGCGGAGAAAAAAAAAAAGAAGAAATAAATGAAAGGGGAGAAAAAGAAAAATTAAAGACTTTTTTTTTTCTTTTTCTTTCAGATTTAACAACTTAAGTCTTTCGCTTCGATAACTTCAACACGTTGTTTGATTGTTAATCTTTCCAGGGTTGAAATTGCCAAGTTGTTAAATCTCAAAGCAAAAGAAAACAAATCATTAGACGCTTAAACTTAATTCCCATTTAAAATCGATCCAAGTTATTGTAACAATATATATATATATATATATATATATATATATATATAAAACTATGACCCTAAAGAGCCAGGCAAACATACCTAGGTTTCACCTACGCGGATCGTCAGGGTACGCTGGACGAGTATACTTATATTTATAAGATTTCCGGGCGAGTATACTTACTTATATTTATAAGGTTATTATATATATATATATATATATATATATATATATATATATTTCTGTAGTTTACTGCTACCAGCAACAAGCAAAATATTTCTCCTCCCGATGATGGCCATTTCGGCCGAAACAATCGAGGAATCTAAATGAAATAATAATAATAATAATAATAAAACGAAAGAATATTAATGTACAACCCAGTGTCTCTGAAGATTTTAATTTTTTAATATTTTTTTATTGTTTAAAATATATATATATATATACAGTGTAACCCGGATATAAGAAAAACCCGGATATAATAGAGATTTTCTCTGGTCCCAAATTAGAGCCTGTGTTGATGTATATAGAATAGACCAAACCGGATATAAGAAACCCGGATATAAGAGACTTCTTCTCCGGTCCCGACAACTCTCTTATATCCGGGTTTACACTATATATATATATATATATATATATATATATATATATATATATATATATATATATATATATTTAATCGTATGTATATATCCATTCATATGTATCTGTTTATTTGAATCGTTTCAAAACTATCTTTGTATGTGTGTATCAATCTATGACTGGGTTTAGTTATACGATATGATTGTTTTTTAAAAAACTATTTAATTGCAAATCTGTATAGGAACGTAATCACATGCCTATATAGGTGTTCATATCTCTTTATTTAATTAATATATATATATATATATGTTTTTCAATTTTTTTATTTACATTTTTTTTATTTATACATTCTTTTTTTTATAGATACAAATATTTCTCTTCCTTTTTAAATGCTCTGTTTTATAATAAACAATAAACAATATATATATATATATATATATATATATATTTTCCGTTTCTTTCTTTCTTTCTTTCTTTTCTTTTTTTTCTTTCTTTCCTTTCTTTTCTTTCTTTTTTCTTTCTTTCTTTCTTTTCTTTTTTTCTTTCTATTTTTTTCTTTCTTTTTCTTTCTTTCTTTCTTTCTTTTCTTTTTTTCTTTCATTTTCTTTTTTCTTTCTTTCTTTCTTCTTTCTTTCTTTTCTTTTCTTTTTTTTTTCTTTCTTCCCACCACTTTCTTTTTTCTTTTTTTTTTTCTTTTTCTTTCTTTCTTTCCCGCCAGCTTTCTTTTCTTTCTTTCTTTCTTTCTTTTCTTTCCTTTTCTTTCTTTTCTTTCTTTCTTTCTTCCACTTTTCTTTCTTTTTTTTTTCTTTCCTTCTTTCTTTCTTTCTTTCTTTCTTTCTTTTTTCTTTTCTTTTCTTTCTTTCTTTCTTTCTTTCTTCCTCTTTCTTTCTTTTCTTTCTTTCCGCCTCTTTCTTTCTTTTTTCTTTCTTTCTTTCTTTCCTTTTTCTTTTTCCACTTTTTCTTTTCTTTTTTTTCCCCTTTCTTTCTTTCTTTCTTTTTTCTTTCTTTCTTTGTTTCAATTTTTCTTTCTTTTCTTTTTTTTTTCCCTCTTTCTTTCTTTCTTTTTTTCTTTTCTTTTGCTTTCCCTCTTTCTTTCTTCTTTTCTTTCTTTCTTTTTCACCTTTTCTTTTATTACGCCATCTTTCCTTTCTTTTTTCTTTCTTTCTCCCTTTCTTTTTCTTTCCCTTTTCTTTTCTTTCTTTTCTTCTTTCTTTTTTCTTTCTTTCTTTCTTTTTTTTCTTTCCGCCACTTTTCTTTTCTTTCTTTCTTTTCTTTTTCTTCCCTCGTTTTTTCTTTTCTTTTCTTTCCGTCTTTCTCAATTTTTTCTTTCCTTTTACCTTTCTTTCTTTCTTTTTTTTTCTTTCTTTCCGCCCACTTTTTTTCTTTTCTTTCTTTCTTTCTTTCTTTTTTTTTTTCTTTCTTCCTATCTTTCTTTTTTTTCTTTCTTTCCCCCACTCTTTCTTTCTTTCTTTTTTCTTTCTTTCTTTTCTTTCTTTTTTTCTTTCTTTCTTTCTTTCTTTTTCTTTCTTTCTTTCTTTCTTTTTTCTTTCTTTTCTTTCTTTTTCTTTCTTTCCGTATTCTTTTTCTTTTCTTTCTTTCTTTCTTTTTTCTTTCCGCCTATTTTCTTTCTTTCTTTCTTTCTTTTCTTTTCTTTATTTTTTTTTTTCTTTCATTCTTTCCGCTTTTCTTTTCTTTTCTCTTTCTTTCTTTCTTTTCTTTTTTCTTTCTTTCTTTCCATCTTTCTTTCCTTTTTTTCTTTCTTTCTTTCTTTCTTTCTTTTATTTTCTTTCTTTCTTTCTTTCTTTTCCGCCACTTTTTTCTTTCTTTTTTCTTTCTTTTCTTCCTTTCTTTCTTTCTTTCTTTCTTTCCCTTTCTTCCACTCTTTCTTTTATTTCTTTCTTTCTTCCACTTTTTCTTTTTTTTCTTTTACTTTTCTTTTCTTTTTTCTTTCTTTCTTTTTTTTTCTTTCCGCCCTCCATTTTTTTTCTTTCTCTTCCTTTCTTTCTTTTCTTTTCTTTTTTCCGCCCTCTTTTTTCACTTTCTTTCTTTCTTTCTTTTTTCTTTCCTTTTTCTTTCTTTCTTTCTTTCTTTCTTTTTTTTACTTTTTTTTTTCTTTCTTTTTTCTTTTTTCTTTCTTTCTTTTCCGTAACTCTTTCTTTCTTTCTTTTATTTTTTATTTTTTTTTCTTTTTCTTTCTTTCTTTCCGCCACTTTTCTTTTTTCTTTTTCTTTCTTTTTCTTTCTTTCCTTCTTTTCTTTTTTCTTTTTTTCTTTTTTTTTTTTTTCTTTTTCCGCCACTCTTTCTTTTTTTTTCTTTTCTTTCTTTTCTTTCTTTCTTTCTTTCTCTTTCTTTCTTTTCTTTCTTTCTTTCTTTCTTTCTTTTTTTCTTTTTTCTTTCTTCCTTTCTTTTTCTTTCTTTCTTTCTTTTTCTTTCTTTTTTCTTTTCTTTCTTTCTTTCTTTCATTTTCCTTTTTTCCTTTTTTTTCTTTTCCTTTCTTTCCATTTTCTTTCTTTCTTTTTCTCTTTCTTTCTTTCTTTTCTTTTCCTTTCCTTCATTTCTTTCTTTTTTCTTTCTTTCTTTCCGTAACTTTTTCTTTCTTTTCTTTTCTTATATTTTCTTCTTTTTCTTTTTCCGCCACTTTCTTTCTTTCTTTTTTTTCTTTCTTTTTTTCTTTCCGTCTCTTTTTTTTCTTTCTTCTTTTTTCTTTTTCTTTCTTTCTTTCTTCCCTTTTCTTTTTTTCTTTCTTTCCGCCACTTTTCTTTTTTTTTCTTTTTCTTTCCGCCCTCTTTCTTTCTTTTTATTTCTTTCTTTTTTCCTTTCTTTCTTTTTCTCTTTCTTTCTGTTTTTTTTTTTCATTTTCTTTCTTTTCCGCCACTCTTTCTTTCTTTTCTTTCTTTCTTTTCTTTCTTTTTCTTTTTTCTTTTTTTTTTTTCTTTCTTTCGCCACTCTTTCTTTCTTTCTTTTTTCTTTCTTTTTTTTCTTTCTTTCTTTCCTATTTTCTTTTCTTTTCTTTCTTTTCTTTCTTTTTCTTTCCCCCCTCTTTCTTTTTCTTTCTTTTTTTCTTTCTTTCTTTCTTTCCTCTTTTCTTTCTTTTCTTTCTTTTTTTTCTTTTTCCATCTTTCTTTCTTTCTTTCTTTCTTTTCTTTCCCTTTTTTCTTTCTTTCTTTCTTTCTTTTCTTTCTTTATTTCTTTCTTTCTTTCTTCACATTTATAAATTTCTTTCTTTCTTTCTCTTTTCTTCCTCTTTCTTTTTTTTTTTCTTTTTCCGCCACTCTTTCTTTCTTTTCTTTCTTTTCTTTCTTTCTTTCTTCCTATCTTTCTTTCTTTTTCCCTTTCCGCTCATTTTTCTTTCTTTTCTTTTTTTCTTTCTTTTTTTCTTTTTTTCTTTCTTTCCTTTTTTTTCTTTCTTTCTTTCCGCCCTCTTTTCTTTCTTTCTTTCTTTCTTTTTTTTCTTTCTTTCCGCCCTCCTTTCTTTCTTTTTTCTTTCTTTTTTTCTTCTTTTCTTTCCGCCACTTTTCTTTCTTTCTTTCTTTCTTTTTCATTTCTTTCTTTTCTTTCTTTTTCTTTCTTTCTTTTCTTTCTTTCTTTCTTTCTTTTCTTTCCTTTCTTTCATTCTTTCTTTCTTTCTTTCCGCCTTTTCTTTCTTTCTTTCTTTTTTCTTTCTTTCTTTTTTCTTTCTTTCCTTTCTTTCTTTCTTTCTTTTTTCTTTTCTTTCTTTCTTTCTTTTTTCTATTTTCTTTTTTTTTTCTTTTTTTCCGCCACTCTTTCTTTTTTCTTTCTTTTTTTTTCCGCCACTCTTTTCTTTCTTTCTTTCTTTCCGCTTTCTCTTTTCTTTCTTTCTTTCTTTTCTTTTTTTTCTTTCTTTCCGCCACTTTTCTTTCTTTTCTTTCTTTCTTTTTTTCTTTCTTTCTTTTTTTCTTTCCGCCACTCTTTCTTTCTTTCTTTTCTTTCTTTCTTTCTTTCTTTTCTTTCTTTCTTTCTTTCTTTCTTTCTTTTCCCTTTCTTTCTTTTTTCTTTCTTTCCGCTTTCTTTCTTTTTTTCTTTCTTTCCCCACTTTTCTTTCTTTTTTCTTTCTTTCTTTCTTTCTCTTTCTTTTCTTTCTTTTTCTTTCTTTCTTTCCTTTGCCTTTCTTTCTTTTTCTTTCTTTCTTTCCGCCTCTTTCTTTTTTTTCTTTCTTTCTTTCCTTTTCCGCCCTCTTTCTTTTTTCTTTCACCCTTTCTTTCTTTCTTTCCCCATTCTTTTTCTTTCCTTTCTTTTTCCTTTCTTTCTTTCTTTCTCCCCATTTTCTTTCTTTCTTTCTTTCCTTCTCTTTCTTTCTTTCTTTCTTTCTTTCTTTCTTTCCGCCACTTTTCTTTTTTCTTTCTTTCTTTCTCCGCTTTCTTTTTCTTTCTTTCTTTCTTTCTTTTCTTTCCGCCCTCTTTCTTTTTTCTTTCTTTTTTCCTTCTTTCCATGATTCTTTCTTCTTTTGCCTCATCGTTTTCTTCCTTTCACCCTCTTACTTTCTCCCCATCTTCTTTTTCCTTCTTTTCTCCTCCTCATTCTCTATTTACTGTCTCTTTCTCTCTTTTCGTTTCCGTTTCCCTTCCTCCTCTTCTCTTTCTCTTCCTTTTCTCTTCCTTCCTCTTCACTCCTCTTTCCTCCCTCTTCCCTACACGTGACGTCAGTTCCCGATTTCCATTTTTGACATTTCTTGGGTGATCCTTCCCGCCAAAACGAAAAATGCCCAACCAACTAAAAATGGCAGCGAGGTAATTTGGTGCCAATTATGTTGGCTATTTTCATAAACGACTCAGTTCAGGGCACATCGACTTGGCTGCATTGGTAGAAGAAGGGACTGGTAGCTGAGAGGTATCAAGTACGTTCCAAAGACATAGGCTTACCTTAAGTGGCAGCGGTAGATCAAAGGCCTTGAGGACTAAAGCTCGAATCCAAATATAAACATCAGCTTCAGATAATAAACATCCCTTCGACAATTCTATTCCAAGTGAAGGATTCAACTTAAGTAGCAGTGGAAAGGTCTGAAGGTACAGGAAGGTCATTTTTCACTAAAAGCTCTTTAAAGAAGCCGAAACGCTTAAAGATCTTCGGTTCAATCTCAAATGCCAGCATCGCAGAAACGAAGAGCAATGGATAGGAAGTGTGTGGTTCAATACCGCTTATGGAAATCGGCAGCAGAAAAATAAAACGTACAAGTTCTACCTTGGGTTAATTAAGGGATAGATTTAATAACAAGTGATATGATTTTTTTTAAATATTTTAAATTGTTTTAGCAGATAAAAGAAAATAAAAATTCCAAAGATGTGGTACTGTATCTCGACAAATAAGGAGGTTTGACTGGCTAATTTAACAATATATGAATGATTTACTAAGCGTAGATTAGACGTGGCACAAGGCCACAAGTATGGAGCACAACAGTGAGGACCGAACTCATTACTCAACAACTGATTATCAAACAGGTTTACTGCCCATTGCACCAAGAATGTTATTTAATAACTAATATATTGGATATAACAAGTAGGTATACAGTAATTAGATACAAAACATATTGTACTGAGTTACATACTGTATACCTACTTATATATATATATATATATATATATATATATATATATATATATATATATATATTAAAGAAAAACAGACCACTTTAAGGTTCCATTATAATAATTTATTTCACCAGAGCCCTTTTAAAGGACTGGATGGATCATCAGATAACACTTCAAAAATGAGACGAAAAATGAAATAAAATTCACACTTTTGACGGGTAGTATTAAGTTTATGTAATTTAACAGAGGGGTAGCGAGAGTGGTGTGAGAGACATGGTCAAGTTTAGAGAGTTTATTTTAATATTTCTTTTCAATGATACTTAGTATTGGTAGAAGAGATGAACCTTGACATATTTAATGATATATATATATATATATATATATATATATATATATATATATATATATATATATATATATATATACCCAAGTATAGGATTGGTGTATACAGAATAATTTCCAATAACCAACAAATACTATTCTTAAAGAATGCTCAATACAGAGCAGATCAAATATAATGATTTATTAGAAAATTATAACATAAATATGTTATAAAATCACTACAAAAATAGCCATTTTGTTTCAACACTTCTGGTGTCTTCTTAATTCACCTTCACTTGATAAGACACCAGAAGTGTTGAATATATATATTATATATATATATATATATATATATATATATATATATATATATATATATATATAAGGCAAGATGTGTGTGTGTACGAATGCACAGCCGCAATTTTCGAAGGATTTGCATCAAACTTTACATGCACATGCTCCAAGTTAGCGGAAAGGCCAACACCGACTTTGCATTTCCAACTCTAATCGATAGTGGAAATAATCGATTTTTTTCATGCTTCTACGGCAGTTTTCATGTAGTTTGCGGCCATTTTCTACTGCCCAGCGTGAGAGCCAACAGCTGACTGACACGAATGTTAACTAGCATGCTAACATGCAAAAAAATCAATAGCTTCATTCGTCACAAGTGGGAAAAATTTAAATGTGCATGGCACTTTACTCCAGTTGGCTCATTCGCTTGCTTAAACTCAACGTTGATTCTGATTCCGCAGAACTGGGTTGGGTGTGAAAAAGTATTTGTTGTTAACATTCTTTTTTCATTCGGTATTTCCAGTTACGAGTCCTTTTTTTAAAGCTGATCGTTTTGTGTTCATTTTGTTTAGTTCTTTTTTTATAACAGATTTAATGTTTAGTATAGAGCTTAGAAAAAATTGTGAGATAGGCAAGAAGTAAAGTATGTAGCAACATCAGCACGGCAAAGGGCACTCCTTTAAAGGCAAGGAAGGGCAAAAATATTTAAATCAAGTGATAGCGATTGCTGTATGAGTCGTACGATTTTTTAATCAAACACGGGCAACGCCGGGCCATGCTGCTAGTATATATATACAAGATCTAATATTGCATTAAACTTAGGCATACGATTAAAAAAAAGAAACAAATAGATCCGGCATACACTGGAATAAAAAAAGATTTGCCCGGGGGTAAAAAAACTGTCATCTATTTATCTTGCGAGATGAAATTAACGCTCTGTTTGATTAAAAATCAGTCCTTTGATGGTAACACCGGTGTTGAGTTCTCCGGACACCGGGCGATGGTATATGGAGGCCGTGCACTCCTCAGATCATATGGCCTCACTCACAGCCGTACCGACAAGATCCAAACATCGGTTGCAGGAGTTGCCGGAAACTTATCAATGTTGGCCTTCGGAAATCCACTCCAGATTTTCTGTCTGTGTTTGGATATTTTATTTTTACTGTAATGTTTACCCTGTACAAAGACAGAGAGCCACTCGAGGTAGAGGCCTTACAAGGCCCGGGAGCTTCGTGATGTCGAGGGTTAAGTTAAGAGGTAATTTATACGGATAAGAGAGGAAGATAACGGTCAACTCTAGACTTGAACATTTTAAGGTTGTAGGAAAACATCCCCTTGGGAATCTGCTCCACAGGGCAGAGGTTCGTAGGAAGCTGTTCGAGTGGAATTTAAATCTCATGGGAAACGGGGGGGATGAGGAGGGTTTGCTACCATGTAAGTGGCATGGCGGGTCATAGGCAGAAAGGTTAAACCTGGCGAAACCAAGGAATGATATGACCGCAAGTCCACGAAAGATAAAAATTGGGGTTTCTTTCCCCTAGACAGACTGCCTTTCCGTGCTAAAGAGCTATATCTACCCTAAGCAGTTGGTTATACTTATGCTTATCATAAAAAAGATACAGTTGAAATTTTTAAGGCGCATAAAAAGGAAAGAGGGTTTGGAAAATCTGACACTCACGGGACATATTGAATTCTATTCTTGACTCCTCTGGAGTATCTTTACTTGACTTTCCACTTAGAACTGAGTCTCCATTGAGTGATATGTATATAACTCCCATTCACGGTTTCTCCTATCAGCTTTAATAATAATACTCCTTAGAAATGTGCTTCTGAAATGTGCTTCTAATAATAAAGGGTGTTCCAATAACTTGGACCGAATTTAAAGCGTTTAAGCGTCTAATGATATTTTTCCTTTTCTTTCAGATTTGGCGGACATTTGGGCGATATTATTTTTCACACATAATTGCTATGACTTAAATAACATGATCCAATAGAGAAATAAATAAATTTTAACCAATAACACTGATTTATTTACTGCTGACTTTGATCCGTTTTAATGAAACACCCTTATATATAATCCATCTTAATGAAACACCCTTTAGTCCTTCTGAAATGTACTTCTAATAATAAGTCGTTAGAAATGTGCTTCTAAACTCTACAATAAATAATTGGCTTCGTCTTGCTTTCTTGTTTATTGAAAATCGTCTCTTGTAGTTCCAGTCGTACGCAGGGGAACCGTCTGATCCCTTTATCGGCTAATTAAACTTCTACCTCTGTCTGAAAAAATTACTAGGGGCTCTAATTAACACTGAATTGGTTAAGCATCTCACCTCGCAGGGTTTTCTTTAAGATAAGCAATATGGCTTTCGCTTCTCTAGTTAAACTGCTGATGTATTAACGATTATTGCTAAAAGATTTTATCCAGATTTAGGCAAGAATAGTGAAGTTATTGCTTTGGATATCTCGAAGGCATTTGACAGGGTTTGGCACACTGGTTTACTTCACAAGTTGAAAGGTTATAGTATTTCTGGAGGAAGTTTTGAAGTGATTGAATCTTTCTTATCAAATCGCGAAATGGAAGGTGTCTTTAACGGCCATTCTTCTGGAGATTTTTTATTTGTTTCTTTTTTTTTTTTTTTGTATCGAAGCAGGTATACCTCAGGACCCTAACCTTTGACCTACGTTGTTCCTAATGAACGATCTTCCTGGTGTCATCAGTGCTCAACTCGATATCTATGCTGATGACACGAGTCCTGTTTTAATAGTAAGAGGGGTTCGATAAGGTCAAATTGGCAACTGATCTCAAAAATGACCAACAATGTTTTGTTAATCGGGGCAAGGAATGGCTTGTTCATTTCGATGCCTCAGAAGCGAAAGTGCTCTCTTTTAATCGTTTGAGAGAATTCTTTTTTGCCTTCCATAAGCACGGCCGTTTTGTTTCGATTTACATTAAGAACTTCCTGGTTCTTTACATGCTCCATCCATGGTATTCTCAGCATTCTTCTGTAGAACCACATTTATGTTGCTTCCAATTTCCTCTTCTTCTGTGGGGAAATTGTCCAGCATTCACTGCAATACTGGATTCTTTTCTTTATTCTTAGCCCAATTTTTTTTTCTTCTGTTGCTTAATATTTTGCTTGGTTTTTGAAAGGCATCTTTCACTATTCTAATGCCCGTTACCGTGTCACGTTTCTGTGCTTGCTTGAGTATGATGCCTCCAATTTACAACTCTTCAATTTGTACCACTTGCTGGCAATGGTGCACGCAGTATCCCAAGAGTTTCGAACTGTCTCTTTCTGGTGCTAAGTATAAATGACCACTTTTTGTCTCCATTGTCCTTAAAACTTCCTCGCTGCTTGCAAGCTTCATCCATATTCATTCTCAGCATTCTTCTGTAGAATCATATCTCTCTGGCCTCAAGTCTCTTCTTCATCCGTGAGGAAATCGTCCAGCATTCACTGCCTTTTAAGGGGGCATTGATATTACCTAAAAGTTCTTTGTTTCTAACGTGGTTCAACTGTTTCTTGGTACTTCAATAGGAGTAGATAGGTTCGCCTATCATCCGGATCACCCTCCTCCGCGGTCTTTTGAACAGGAGTAGAGCTATAAGAGCTATAAGGGTCGGGAAGATGTGGAGAGCTATGATCACCTCAGCGCGTAACATACTTGATGTGCTTGAGTAAATGGATGGTAGAACAGAGTTTGGGCGAAATAACAAGACGGCAAAACTTATTAAGAGCTACAAGAGACAGGAAGATGTGGAGGGCTATGATCACCTCAGTGCATAACATACTTGATGAGCTTGAGTAAATGGATGGTAGAACAGGTTTGGGATAAACAAAAAGAGGCAAAACTTATTAAGAGCTACAAGAGACAGGAAGATGTGGAGGGCTATGATCACCTCAGTGCATAACATACTTGATGAGCTTGAGTAAATGGATGGTAGAACAGGATTTGGGATAAACAAAAAAGAGGCAAAACTTATTAAGAGCTACAAGAGACAGGAAAGATGTGGAGGGCTATGATCACCTCAGTGCATAACATACTTGATGAGCTTGAGTAAATGGATGGTAGAACAGGATTTGGGATAAACAAAAAAGAGGCAAAACTTATTAAGAGCTACAAGAGACAGGAAGATGTGGAGGGCTATGATCACCTCAGTGCATAACATACTTGATGAGCTTGAGTAAATGGATGGTAGAACAGGATTTGGGATAAACAAAAAAGAGGCAAAACTTATTAAGAGCTACAAGAGACAGGAAGATGTGGAGGCTATGATCACCTCAGTGCATAACATACTTGATGAGCTTGAGTAAATGGATGGTAGAACAGGATTTGGGATAAACAAAAAAAAAAAAACTTATTAAGAGCTACAAGAGACAGGAA